CTTTCTCTCTCTCTCACACACACACACGCACACTGCCCGCAGACAAAATAGCACGCTTTCAAACTCGAGAGTGCTGGAACTTTTTTGTAAACTGTATATCATGAGCCGTCACGCGCTTACACAAGGTCGCGCCCAAGTCTTGCGGGGACGCGAGATTGGGCAATTGAAACATCTCGGTAGGCGTACATTTTTGTCATCCTAATGCGTTGTTGCGTAATTGAAAGTTTGTCATTTTCCCTTACACTGGCGAGCTCTGAGCCAGAGTTTAGTGTAAGGGAAAACGACGAATGGTAGATCGGTCAAGGATCAATGCTTCGTTGTCCTTCATCTCATGGGATGGAATGCTTGAATCAGGCCAAAATATTAAATATACATGTATACGTCACTGTCGGCACTAATTACTTAAACCGGCAGTGGACGCTCCCTCTAAACGAAGCTTTGAGTGCCATGAACGTAGCCTTAGCAGCACTTGCAAACTGCGTTCAGGGCGCCGTGAACGTAGCCTGCCAACTACGTTCACGGCGCCGTGAATGTAGCCACTGCGATAATGTTAAGACCCTTAGATGTAGATTTTGAAATGGACATACTGGACGATTATTTAAAAAATGAAGACTTGGTTAAAATAGAGTGGCTTATTACTTTTAGAAAGACGAAGGCATTTTGATTAAATCTACATAAAGTGTGATTTTAGGGGTGTGCGGGTCGATTTTGCACATATGTTGCAAGAAGAGATCCACATATTAAATACCATTATTATATTAATTCACGAAGGTTTAGAAAGATAAAAAAATGCTGAGAGAGAAGACACACAGATCAGACGAACTGAGGGAGCAAGTTATTGATCATGAAAAAGAACAACATAATCTTAGAAAGAAAATAATGTATTCTCGTGTATGAGACGGGAGGACTTCCGTAACGAGCGACCACTATGAGACAGAGTAGAATAAAGGGCTAGGGGTAGAGTTAGGGTTTGGGTTAGGGTTAGGTCTCTTTCTTATTTATTGTGTTTGTTGGGTGGTCGCTCGTTACGGAAGTCCTTCCTATGAGACTAAGGAAATTTCATAGTTGATTTAATTGAAAGAAAGGATCAATATGGATGTGAATCTCTGACCAATTGCATGCTTAATGAATAGATCATGAAGCGTTCAGTTTGTCTTGCTACCCCTACTCCTACCCATACCCTTATCCTTACCCCTATCCCTACCCCTATCCCTACCCCAAACCCTGACCCGACCCCTACCCCAACCATAACTCTAACCTTTACCCTCTATTCTACTCTTCTACTCTGCTTCTCATAAATAGTGATTGCTCAAATCATTACGAAATTCCTCCCCAAGCCTTTACTTTGTTTTTTTGTATGATCCATTATCTGATGTATGGAGGACAGTTTTGTACCACTTCCTACTTTTATTCACTGTCTGCATTTTTCCTGTGTCGTATTTGTCCCTTCCCCCCCCCAAAAAAAAGACGAACAACAACAGACAAACAAACGAAAAACCTACAACATAGCATTCAATGTTTTAGGGATCCACATTTATGATCTGCAGCAGGTATTTTTTTCCAGTTTTCCTCTTTCAATGAATGGTTCATGAGCTCAAACGGTAAAATGCTTGATAGAGTCACCCCAAGTCCTTTTGTGCTGGTTTCTGTAAAGGTTGTTTGGTAAAATTGCATACATATATATATACTCTCCTCATCTTAAAGGTCGTACTTGCTATAGTGGTTAAATACATTTGAAGTAACATTGAAGAGTTGAAAGTAATGAAAGGGATACATGTGCGACTATCATCTTTATCATCTTAATATCTAAACGAGCTCTTTGTAAGACTGCCTCTTCTTGAAAAGATTGTAGTATGAATACACATTAATCTTGCACCAGCAAAGCTGATACGATTCTGCAGATAATATTGTGATCGTAAAGTCCCTGGCCCATGATGAACCTTTTCTGTCCTTCATGAACTGTACTGTTAGTTGAGATGAACAGTGCAATGATAAGCATAATTTTGAGAAGGAAATTTATGTTTCAGTAAACCCAAATTTTGTATTTTTGCTTGCTTCAGATCTTGTTGATAAGCTCCACCCATGATGTGACAAAGTGGGTTGTACCTGGAGGTGGAATTGACCCAGGGGAGGAGCCAGACACAGCAGCAGCCAGAGAGGCCTTAGAGGAGGCAGGGGCTGCTGGTGTGATTGACAGATTACTGGGCGTGTTTGAGGTTGGTGCTTCTTCTTTATATTCTTCTTATTACTGGCACTCTTTCAGTCTGTCTGACCAGTGTCTTGGATGTTGTGGTTAGGCGTTTTGCCATCACAAGCTGAAGACACGTGTTTGATTACTGTGTGGGGAGGTTTTATTTTTGACCATCTCCGTCTGTCTGATGGAATGCTGTATCCGCCTCAGCCGTTGTTGGTCCTGACAGGCAGGGTCAAAGCCTGCCTCTCCTAATTGATCTGAATTATGTGTACTTTGGAGGGGGGGGGGGGGGGGGGTGTAAAAAATTACAATTACATGTTTTTTCAGTCTGTCTGATATGTAGTAATTCACTAATATGTCCCCACCTATCGAAACAGATCCACCTTTAACACCTCATCCCTCGACTTTGCTTTTTTCCCCCTGACCTGGTTCCAGATTTTGAGTGGGGTGTGCGAGATGAATGTACAGAATTTTCCAATTTTGCTCAGGAACAACACTCTCCAAAACAACCCTGTCCCAGAACACTTTAACTGAAAAAAACAACCACAACAACATCTCTCTTCGGGGGGGGATTCAGGGAGGTTGGACTGCCTCACCCGCTACCCAAGGGAGGCGGTGGCCCTGGCGATGAGCACACTCTTCGGGGCTCCGAACATTTCGAACGGATAGGCTACCACACACACACACACACACACACACACCACAACAACAAACTGGGATGGCTTTGCTGTTGAATGCTCTCAAATTTTGAATCCCTACTTTTGACCTCCATTACAATAAATTTCTCGAGACACTTGTAATAGAAATATGGCAAAACACATCCCAAAAACATCTCCAAAGCCTCAGAATTTCAGAACAAAGTCTTTCTTTGAGGACTATGATGATGCCGTAAAGAAAAAGAAGGCAGCTTGTGGAAGAGCTGTCGACAACAGCACTGCAGACAAAATAGCACAAAAAAGCCTGAGCTGATACACGAAAGTGCTTCAGGGAGAGCAAACGACACTCTTTTAGGAATACATCTGAAAAATAACAAACATTAATTAACAAAGTTTATGAAACTTTGTTAAACAACATGAAATGTTTTGAAAATGTTATTGTGTGACCATTTATAATTTATAATGTTTCACGGAAGTCTTTTCTGTAAAATGTGAATGCTATGTAATGTGAGCCAATGCCAATGGCTTCAACACCGAATAAAATACCTTTACCTACCATTTCCTCTCTTAACGATGTTGCTCCGGATGGGTTCAGTCGAAGTCCACAAAGTTTAACAATTGATCGTTATGCAAGAGTTTTTCTTTTTCTCCCCTGGCATTTTTCTGACCACTTTATCTCTTTCAGTTTTAGAGAGTAATTTTTATTGGTCCTTTTCCCGCCTCAAAAAGCAAAGCTCCTTTTTAAAATTATTTGGACTGTACGTAATACGCCTGTGGATCGTCGAACTTAAACAAAAGCACCCTTTCGCCACTCTTTTGTCAAAGAGTTTGGGTGGAACCGAATAAAAAAGGTTGGGGGGGGGGGGAGGTGAAGCCGCTTTGGCAGCCATTATTGATCTCCTCTTTAAAATGTTTTTGGGCTAAAATGGGTGAAAGGGGGGGGGGGGGTTAGAACATTTAAAGTAATAAAAGCCCAAGTGTTAACCAGCAGGGTGTGTAGTGTGTGTGTAACCTCTCTAATAGAGAAATAAAGCGGCTATATAATATAATATGCTTAATACTCCCCCAGCTGAATTCATTTGAATCGGGGCCGGCCAGAATTTTCTCCATAGAAGATCAGCAGCTACCATTTTGGTTCAGCTCGACTGAATCCGGTTAATTTTGATAGTGACCTTCAAAATTATTTACCCCTCCGTGGTCACATGAAGGAAAATCTGGCTTGCCCAGACTCAGTGCAACAGAACTCGATTGACGGGCTGTGTGCACTGGGTATTAGAGGTACCTGTGTGACATTGTGTGCTTCGGTATTTCATTTCAGCCAGCCGCTCCCACCCGAAAAAAAAAAAAGAATCCACCGCGCTTCTGCTTCTCTACTTTCATCACAGGGCCCAGTGGTCCGCCTTCGTACTGATCTATTTGTGTGTAGCACCGTAATTAACTTATTTAAAACCCAGAAAAAACCAGCGACGTTGCACTCTATGTGCACCACAGTTTTAGCGTCTTTTCGAAACGATCTTGCAGCGCTTCCACACTACACACAGTCAGATACCCAACATTTGGAAAAATATATATTAATGTATATTATTATGAAAAAAGCAGCCGGGTTATTTCAGCGTGCACAATGGTGGTTTGATTACAATTTTATGCAGTCGCGCACCTTTGATCCTGTCTGGGTTTTTTTTTGTGTGTGTGAATTTGTTTTAGAATACGCGTTTCGTTCTGAATGCGTAATGATTAATAATTGTAAATTATTTTCCTGTTCGTTTCTTACTTAGGGAGTTTCACTCCAAAACAAACTACATAGGGTAATTGTTTTGCTGAGACAGGGAGAAGCTTTCTATAGAGGCTTCTCTATGTCGACTGTATCGAGCGGTCTGTATGCTGTCTGGTAGCTCGTTCATGTGCTTGCCTCTCAAAGGAATTGCTCGCCGAGCGAGGACATTTTGGGGAAATATATCCACGGAATTAGGAGGAGGACAGAAAGCGTTTTCAGCTTCTTAATCTGACGACTGGTGTGTCAGTTGGATTTCATGGTTAACTTATGACCAACTTATGACCAATGGCATGGGAGCGTCTAATCGCCAAGTCTGAACAGCGGTTTAAAATCTTGAAGACTGCGTTTCTTTAAGCCACAAGCAAATCCCTGTAAACTGAGAAATTGTGAATTATTCTCTCCTGATCACTGGGAAAGTAATATTCATGTGACGAAATTGGAGGCGTGAACAGTTATTTCCGCAACCTCAGAAACTAAGATACTTTAAGAACGTTTATTTTTAGTTTATTTCGTACCTAGGTGGATAGTGCTCGTGGCTTAAAAGGTCTCTTTCGAAAGTACTTTAAAAGTGGATGGATGTTGAGTGCTATTGTGTCGTTTGCTCCCTTTGGTCTGATCTATCAAATATCTGTCATTCTTATCTCTCCTCGTCCTCCTTTTATTTGTATGTTATTCTCTTATAGTAACACTTCTAGTCTTTGGCGCTTAAATATGGCATATGTGAGGCAGCGTGGTGGAATCAGGCTCTCGTCAAAATAATGAAATTGAAGAAAACAGCAGTTTTCTCCTTGCTTAGCAATTTTTATCAAATTTTTGTTTTTTGGCTCAACACCTTTTATGTCTATTTACAAACACATTCCTTCGAGAATTTCACCGAAAACGTTGATTAAAGACTCACAAATATAAATGTACAGTTTCCATGGACTCTCCAGCTTTGGAATTTACCAAGCTTTTGCGGCCGTTTTCTCGCTAATTTTACCTCTTAAATCAGGTGACCCCCGCCTGCTTCAATTCAAAATATCTCCACTTCTATTGAAGATGGATGGGTAATTTTTTCATTGAAAGCAAGACAAATGAACACGCTTTAAGATGATACCAATAACTTAATATGCTGAAAAATGACGAGAGCCTTATTCCACCACGCTGCCTCACACATATTTGTGTTGCAAGTGCCGTAAAATTATTACTAAAACTAAACAAAAATAAATTACAATTACTGCTATTGCACACCCTGTTCCGGTGTCTGTGGTTTAGTGGTAGGCGCTTTGCTGTAGCACGTAGCAGACTCAAATGTCCATTCCCGAGTAGGGAGAACATTTTTATTGAATGAGTATCTCTGTCTTTCTGCTGGGATGTGGTATCCCTCTCAGCTTGGGTTAGCCCTGACAGACATTGGTCGGAAGCCCACTTCCTAAAAAACGCCAACTAAATTGTGTCGATTGGGGGCTTGAAAAAGCACCAACATTAAAAATAAAGCAACAAAAAGACACAAACACCCCCTGTCCGCCTTCCAAGTCTGTGGGACGTTTCGATGTGATTAGCCGGAGTGGCTCATTACATTACGAGAGCCGACGACCCGTTGGCCCGTGTGTGGCACGCACATTGCTTGTTCAATAACTGCGATTGGCGGAGATGTTACGTCGCCCGGGTTCTCCCATTTCCATTTAATCATCTGTTGTTCTACCTGTGTGATTGGCTGACTGTGGGCCTATTTCTCTTTTTCTTTCGCTACCTCCCAGTCTGTCTTGTCAGTCTCTCTTTCTCAAACGAGTGTTTTGGAATGGGGGAGGGGTTCCACTGGTAGGTTTTACTTTTTCCACCTCTTCCCGTTGTTTCTGTCATAAATAACCATTATCATGTCGACGTTCTTGGCTTTACTCAAACAAAGAAACAATCTATGGCAATCATTTTCCGTGGCGGATGGTTGATGAACAGTCTGGTGTGGTTTGCATCCTTATCTTCTTTTTTTTTCAATGCCGATGCTCTTGTCACAGTATGTTGCATATGAGATATATTGCTGGAAGTTCTATTAACAGCAGCATTCTTTCCACCCCTGCCTTTTTCTGCCCCTGTTTTCAGTTTTTGAGGTAATGCCTGTTTAAATGCCATTCTCTCAATTTGTCTTTTGCCTTTGCTCTTTCTGCTTCTCTTCTCTTTCGTCTCACCTCCCTGCAGGTGGTTGGTTGGCAGGTGCTCAAATATGTTTTGCTCCTTCTATCCTATCAAACATCTATCGTCCTCCGTTTAGTTTAGTATGGGGTTTTACGGCGCTCGCAGATCGTCCTCCTTTTCTTTGTATGTTACTATTTTAGCAACAGCTCTAATCTTCGAATTTTATATAACATATTTATATAGCAAGTGCCGTCAGTAAAACTCTTACTTAAATTAAAATAGAACCCCCCCCCCTAAAAAAAACCCCAAAACAAAAAAACAAAAAAACCCAATAAAAATTTAAAAAGGACCCAACGCAAAAGCAAAACCTAACAGATGATTAATTGGCGCTCTGGTTTTGTTTTCTTCTTTTCTCTTTCAGTATGACTATAAAAATAACCCGAAAGTTCTGGCCAAATGTGGCCATATTCGTGAACTATT